AAAGGCTTTCTTTCTCTCTCCCTCTTCTTGGTTCTGCTCTCTCTCTCTCTCTCTCTTCTCTGCTGTACAGTACTCCTCTTCCCCTCAGCTTTCATTGACTCATCGTGCTGTCTGCCTGTAGAAGAGGGAACAGTGAACGACTAAAAAAAGAAAAAAAGGACTCTCTCTCTCTCAGCAATCATCCATCAAAAGGTTCTACAAATAATAGCTGAGACTCCTCCCACACAACACCCCCACCCCCCAAGCCACACACACACACACACACACACACACACCTCCCAGAACCCTGTGTGAACTCACATCCATTCTCTCTCTCCTGGCAGCAGCAGTAGTAGTGAGAGGCACTTCCAGTGACAGTAGCCCCTCTCCCTCCCTGTGCTGCCCGCATTTGGTCTCATCCCCTGGGGGGGACCACAGCCTGAGGCTGCATGGGCCTGGATGCAGAGGGGGGGAATACCCTGCTCTCTCTCTCTCCATTTCCTCTCTGTCTTTTTCTCTACCATGGAATTGTGGCTTAGATAAACGATTCATGTAGTTAACTGTATTAATATTTGTATTACTGTATTTAGTTCATGTATTGCAGGATTGGAAATTGGTAGGCTTCTTTTGACTGGCACCAATGGATGCTGCATGCTGGACAAAGAGCCTACTTTGAATTCATAATAATGATCATGAAAATCAAATGAGGGGACAGGTTTTTAATCTAGTGTGTGTATAATTACCAGATACCAAACCCTCCATGATTCAATATTAAATATATGCCTTGGGTTCTATTCTGTTAGTTTCCCCCCCCTCCATTTCCTACCAGGGTCTGTAGTCAGTTTGATTCCACAAGGGTATTCTCCTCTCACAAGCATAAACAAACACAGAAAACTTTATCGAATACAAACTGGGAACTGGGAGAACGCGCCACAGCGGCTCTATTGTGCATGATGAATAGAATGAGTCACTGCACATAAGCCGACAACAAAGAGAGAACCTCGATGTTGACATGCGCGGGAAGGACCCCCGGTTGAGCTCCTAATACAAATAGGTTTCTGAGCGCGCGGGGACGCCGGTGGGTCGCTTTTCATATCCTCAGAGGCGCGTCTGAATTGATCGCGCGCTGGAAGGGGAGCAGATGCGACGCTAAGGGGCGCAAGGTAGAGCGCGCAGAGATAGAACCTAGCGCACATCAAGGCTATCTTACTGCGTTTCCGCTTAGCTCGGCAGAGTTAACGCTGAATCGAAGAGACAGGTTGGAATTAAAAACAAACCGCTCAGTGTCTACAATGAACAATTACAAAAACGCCAATATCAATGTCACCGCGCGCCTGCGGTAGTCAAATACGTGTTGGGGCTTCTACGGAGAAATGTAATTATTAAATTATTCATCAGGAATATGAATATCACATCCAATGTTTCCATTATAAACCTTTATGAGACAATTACATAAAGGGATGTGGTTCCCTGGAATATCTATTGCTTCTCTGATATTAACATAACCCAATCAAGAATAGGATAGGCCTATACTACAAATGACTATCTAGTTTAAGCACAAGATGTACAGACTATAGCTGCTATACATTAATACTTCAATTTTATGTGGAAACTTGACATCTTTAACAGCTGGGCAGGTCAAATCATTATTCATGTTTATACAATAACGCCCTATTTAAGAGTAAAGAGTAGCCAAATGTGCCTGTACCTCTGCTGAGTCAGATGTAGGTTAAACTATTAGATTTAAAGTGCATACATAATACACTCAATATGTATGCAGTGATCTATAGCAGGGTTTCCCAAACTCGGTCCTGGGGCACCCCCTGGGTGCACGTTTTGGTCAATGCCCTAGCACTACACAGCGGATTCAAATAATCAAAGCTTGATGAGCTGGTCATTTGAAAATCAGCTGTGTAGAGCTAGGGCAAAAACCAAAACATGCACGCGGGCCCCTGATCTATATCAGGGACAACTTAGTTGAGGGGAGTGTGTGAGTCAATGACTAAGGACGCCACCTAGTGGATGTTTAAGAAAAGTGCAGCGGTGTATGCAACCTCATTTTATGTTCTGCAGCCAGACTTTCCACATGAACACAAATTGTTTTAATCCATAGCACCAGTAGTAAATCAATGCATATATTTGACAGAATTACAAGAACATATCGTTTTACACATCAACTCAAACCAAACCGGTATAGGTAGGTAGGTCACTATTACCTTGCATTACAGCCACTGGTAACAGACTTGTATGAACAGAAGAAGATGCATGGAAGTAAACCTAGGCAGAAATGTTCTATGAAAGTATACTATATGTTTATTTTACTAGACATTAATGCAACTCCATGTCTGTCTCAAATTGCACCCAATATAGTGCACTACTTCTGGCCATAGCACAGAGCTCTGCTCAACAGTAGTACACTAACAGGGTGCCATTTGGAACACAAGCCCATGCTGTTGTTATTCACAGATAGATAAACAGGGCAGAATGAAACTGAACAAAAATAAACTGAAAAACTAGCAGTACTGTACAGGTGATGTGTAAACGTTTAAGACCATGGGCAACATTGGCTGACAGAACCAAAGACATTCAACGTACCAGATACACACGTAACACAAAAAGAACAAGCTCACATAAAAATAAAACTAGTAGTACTGTACAGGTGATGTGTAAACATTTAAAGACCATGGCCAACATTGGCTGACAGCACACACGTAACACAAAAATGTGTGACATTTTGAAAGATAATGCCCACATGTTGTATCGCATTATATATATATATATAACTGACACACATCCTAAAGGTGATTGCACATTAGCAAAACTGTTTCCAGCAAGACTCAGTGTGTATCAACCACTAATGGCCAGATGACCCTTCAGCAATTCATAATGACACTTTAAAAAAAAAAATGTGTTGGGCATTGATTGGCTGAATACCTTCAGGTAACAGAGAGAAAAGACCGGAAACGTAGCCAAAAGTCAAAAAAAGCTGTGGAATAAAATGTAAAATAGGTACATGACCAGAATAGATCAAATAAAAAAACAGAGTAAAATAAACAAAGACATCTTGATAACCTGAGCAGCAAGCTTCTTGTGCAAGCCTTTCATTTAATGTATAAAAAAAAAAAACACACCCATCTCTTTAAAACTTACCACAAACCCATCCTCACACATTTCCCATTAACACTTCCTCTAAAACAACCCCATCACAACCAACGTCATGTCATGTTCATTAGGGTACACAACAAATCAACTTTTCAAAATGTTTTGCAATAGAAATCGAAAAATAAGGGTTTCTTATTGGACAAAGTCCAGATAGTCCCTCCCAGTTTCAATCCATCTTGTTCTGTTTGGTGCCCAATGAACATGACCCACATCAAATGTCCCAATTCACGCTCAATGAAGATGACATATATGAGACCGGGCAACACTGAAGGTACTGTAAGATAATCCTCTACGGACACTGTCACTACAAATTTCCATCTCCAACTTCCAGAAAACCGTTCAACAACGTTACCGTCCCAACCAATATCCACCCAAAACCCATGACTTCCAGTTAAAAAAAGTAATAAATGATAATCACATCATTGTACTGTCAAACCTCGAAGGCCAAACCAGGCAGGTGAAATATCACATTGTACACATTGAGGAGTTCAATCAGTTAATTCACAAATCTCAGACAATAAAAATAAATAGTCGTCCCAACATGAAGTCCTACTTACCTCTCTCCCAAACACTGATCCCATTACAGAAGGTTGTTTTGTTCCTCAGCTCATCAACATCATCCAATATGTATTGACCTGAATTTGTATGATATAGATTCAAGAAAACCCAGAGCCAGTGTTTCCCTCTCTAATGCACTACTATAAAGTGTAGTGCACTACTTTTGGCCAACAGTGCACTATATAGGGAACAGGGGGTGTAATTTGAGCTCACAGCCAGTATCGCTAAACCCACTGGCCTTTAGAGCTGTGGGGTATTCCAGAAGGCAGGGTTAATATACATCAGTCCAGCTAACTTTCATTAACAGCCTTTGCCTCATATCGCTTGATTTTCTGGATGATTAAATAAGCTACATTTGTATAATGGTTGTTGTTGTTGAGTCATTTCAAACTATTTCAAGCAATTTGTGCCAGTTCGCTGGCTAACTCATTGATCCAGATTCTTTGGAACAGGCCCCAGATGAATGTGACTGGTGCTAATCTGCATTTTGTAGGGGGATATAATCATCCCATCAGTGTGCTGTGTGTGTAGGGCAACCATTGGGACTTTTAATATTAGTAAAATTAGATGCCACATGTTCAGATAGGTTGTACAAACATCAGATTCAGAAGAAAATAAAAAAACACAAACATATAGTACAATGTAGGCTAGCTAGCGGTCAACGGTATAAGTATCCATGTAGGCTCAGCTAGCTAGCTAGTGGTAAACTGTAAAAGTATCTATATAGGCTCAGGTAGTGGTCAACGGTAAAAGTATCTATGTAGGCTCCGCTAGCTAGCGGTCAACAGTAAAAGTATCCATGTAGGCTCAGCTAGCTAGCTAGCGGTAAACTGTAAAAGTATCTATGTAGGCTCAGCTAGCTAGTGGTCAATGGTAAAAGTATCTATGTAGGTTCAGCTAGCTAGCTAGCGGTAAACTGTAAAAGTATCTATGTAGGCTCAGCTAGCTAGTGGTCAATGGTAAAAGTATCTATGTAGGCTCAGCTAGCTAGCGGTCAATGGTAAAAGTATCTAACAAAACTGTTTCAAGTTATGAGTGGCACTCAGACCCCAACCAGACCAAAGAAAGCTCCCTTCTGTCCCTGCCTCCACACTGAACACTGAGTTGGTCTTGTACTTTCCTGGGTTGCGTCCCAATAATCCCTCCTTTATCTCTCCTCCTGAAGTGTGCACTCGTTCACTACTCCCCACAAATGTAAAAGTCTTGGATTGTGTAGGCATGGGCTAGAAGGAGTTTCCATATAGATATACCAGTCATTTCCTTTCAAACCCATTGAGGGAAGTGAACAAGTGCACACTTCAGGAGAAAGGAGAGATTATTGGGATGCAACCCATGTCTTGCTGGAGACCAATGTTGTTGTATTTGTCACAGCTTTAGAAAGTTAAAATATATTTTAGTTAAAATACACAAAAAAAACAAGTCCAGTGTTGCTAGTACCAATCCTTTACATCGAGGTTTCTAGGGAGGGAGAGAAACACATTCTGGAGATGGATGGAGAGTCCTGGAGGGAGGGAGGGAGGGAGGGGGAGAGAAAGCGAGAGATAAAGAAGATGAATGAGACACAGGACAAAACAGACATAATATATCATAGTGTAAAGTTAACAAAGCTCACAAGATGTGGAAATGTGGCTGTACTGTAATGTTGAATGATTACATTGAAGTGTATCAGAAAATATATAAAACATATACAAAAACATGTGTATGTAAATGTATATATAGAAGTCGGAATTGCCATGTTATAAACCCAAAGGAACATACCTTTGATACTTTGAGTACCCTCTCTCTATTGAGGGCCATGCTATCAGAGGCCTTGACCCCCACTGGAGTATTATTATTCACTGTCACCGGACTGTTCACCTGGAGAGACACACACACACACACACACACACACACAGACACACACACAGACACACACTTCATGAACATCCAGAAGAAACAAGGAAGCTGTGGACAAGCAGGAAGTGTGTTTATTTGTGTGTGAGGTCTCCTTGTGTGTCAATGTCGCTCACCGACTGCAGGACGACGTTCTCCTTTCCCTGACGTCCCGTCGCCGCAGCAACCATCTCCGGGGAGATGTGTCTGCCCCTCCTCTCCAACGCCAGTTGGTCCCCCTTATGTCTCCTCTGTTTTCATTGGTTCATTTGATCAGGAGGGTAGGACAGTTGACAGAACAGTTATTTAACCTTCACTTTTCCAGGAAAAGCTTTTTTGATAACGTTATAGAGTAGAACCTTTTAACTAGAAAACTTAGAAATGCCCCGTTTTCACTGGTATGGTGCTGGGCATAATGAATACGAGGTTGAAAAGTGGAGGAATTGCCCTTACAAGATCGTCATATACAATACACAGAACAGTTATGATGTAGCAGATAGTGACTACCACATACTAAGTTCACATTGGATACAAAGTACAACATTTACAATTGTAATTCAAATACACATAAACACAATGACGCACGCACACACACACACACCTTGATGAATCCACCGAAGGAGCGGGAGCGGGGGTGTTTCTTGCTCTGGGCCGGGGGGGTCTGATAGTTGTTGATGGGTGTCCCTGGGGGGGCCGGGCCGGGGGTGGTCTGTTTGGCAAGCTGCAGGAGGAGGAGGATGAAAAGGAGGAGGAGGAGGAGGAGACAGGATATTGGGCTTTAGCCAGTCCTTCTAATCTACATCAAATTAGAAATCTGCCTTGTATAGAAAAGGAGACGAGGAACAGAAAGAGAGTATTAAGAAGCAGTCTGGCTGTCAGTACCTGTATTAGGAGTTTCTTCTTCTTGGCAGAGTTGGGCATGTTGTCATAGACGTGTCTGAACAGCTCCTTCAGGGACTCCTCTGTGTGGTGCTGCTGGCCCTGGGACGAGGACGAGGAGGGGTATTGGGAGGGGGACAGGTACTGAGACGGGTCAGCCCAACACCTCTTCAGGGGCAGGGGAACAGGGGCAGGGGAACCAGTCACAGGTAACAGGTCTATATCATCCTAACGGAGGTGGGTGGGAGGGAGAGGGGTGGGAAAGGGGTTATTGGTTTCCATCACAACATGAGTATATGGATACATCCCAAATGGCACCCTATTCCCCCTATGGGCCCTGGTCTAAAGTAGTGCACTATAAAGGGAATAGGGTGCCATTTAGGACAGATCCTATTTCAGTTTAGAGGGAGATTAGGTTGATCTACACCTAGACCCAAAACTACAGCAAGACACTTCTAATAGGCCCTGGTAGATCTGAAAGGACTGGGGAGCTGTAAGCAGTTTGGGCCATAGCTCCACCTAACATCCTGGTAAACTGGGTTGCTTACACCTATACAGGGCCTGTATTCACAAAGCGTCTCAGAGGAGTGCTGATCTAGGATCAGTTTGGCCTTGTAGATTATAACGAATGGAAAAGGGGGGACCTGATCCTAGATCAGCACTCCTGCTCTGAGACGCTTTATGAATACAGGCCCCGGTTTGATCTAATATGGTCCTTTGTTTGTGCAACATCTTTTAATGGTATAGTTGACGTAAACAAGTCCTACTACTAACCTTGGTCTGCAGGCTCTTAGATCCTGTGAAGAGCATTCTGGCATGCTCTCTCATGTACACAGGAGCCTGAGCAGACACACACACACACACACACACACACACACAGGATATCATATTATTACATTATTGTAGCCCATGTTCCCCAGATCTTATTCAATAACACTGACAACTGGGCCGGTTTCCCAGACACAGTTGAAGCCAGTAGTATGAGGTATTCTCAATGGAGTGTTTTAGTCCAGTGTGGTATACTACAAAGCAGGACCAATGAGTTAGCCAGCTAACTTTGATAAGCAACCAGAAATAACTATAGATTTCCTGCTTCATAAAAAAGAAAATGCTACACTTAGATCTGTCTTTGTTTGTTGAATCAATTAGACCATGCACATTTCAAGATTATCTTTCTAAAAAAACAAAAAGTTATCAGAATATTTAGGCAAGTTAGTTGGCTAACTTTATAGAATGCTTTGTAGAATACCCCTCTGGACTAGGCTTATTCTGGGTTGGGGAAACTGGCTAACAGAATATTGTGTGTGAAGTTAGTCTCTCTGACCCTGAATAGTTTCTGGGAGTGTTTGATGAGGAAGGCCATGCCGTAGTTTAGCTTCTTCAGATTTTCCTGGAGGTCACTGGCCACCATCTGTATCAAATAGAAAATGAATGAATATATATATATATATATATATATATATATATATATATATATATATATATATATATATATATATATATATATATTTTTTTTTTTTAGGTACTGATTAGGTGATCACATGAACCAAATCTTATTTAACGAGGAAAAGTATAAAAACCACTGCTGTGGTCATCACTATCCTCTGCAATAGGACCAGCTGGATGGAAAAACAGTGCTAATAGTACCTCAAAAGTAATATGAATCAAAAAATAACTATTGACCATGCCAAAAGAGTTGAAAAGGAACGTTTTGAGTGAGGAAAAGAAGGGTTCAATTCTGTCTTTACTGGCAGAGGGATACAGTGAGCGTCAGGTTGCTTCCATCCTTAAAATTTCAAACACGCCGGTTCATAAGAACAAGGTCAAGCAGCAGACATTGGAGACAACAAAGCTACAGACCGGCAGAGGGCGAAAACTACTCTCTACTGACCAGGATGACCGCCAACTCATTTGAATGTCACTCAACAACCGTAGGATGACATCAAGTGACCTACAAAAAGAATGGCAAACGGCAGCTGGGGTGAAGTGCACGGCGAGGACGGTTCGAAACAGGCTCCTAGGGGCAGGGCTGAAGTCGTGCAAAGCTAGAAAAAAGCCCTTAATCAATGAGAAACAAAGAAGAGTCAGGCTGAGGTTTGCAATAGACCATAAGGATTGGACCGTAGAGGACTGGAGTAAGGTCATCTTCTCTGATGAGTCCAATTTTCAGCTTTGCCCAACACCTGGTCGTCTAATGGTTAGACGGAGACCTGGAGAGGCCTACAAGCCACAGTGTCTCGCACCCATTGTGATATTATTTGGTGGAGGATCGGTGATGATCTGGGGGTGCTTCAGCAAGGCTGGAATCGGGCAGATTTGTCTTTGTGAAGGACGCATGAATCAAGCCACGTACAAGGTTGTCCTGGAAGAAAACTTGCTTCCTTTTGCTCTGACATTTTTCCCCAACTCTGAGGATTGGTTTTTCCAGCAGGACAATGCGCCATGCCACACAGCCAGGTCAATCAAGGTGTGGATGGAGGACCACCAGATCAAGACCCTGTCATGGCCAGACCAATCTCCAGACCTGAACCCCATTGAAAACTTCTGGAATGTGATCAAGAGGAAGATGGATGGTCACAAGCCATCAAACAAAGCCGAGCTGTTTGAATTTTTGCGCCAGGAGTGGCATAAAGTCACCCAACATCAATGTGAAAGACTGGTGGAGAGCATGCCAAGACGCATGAAAGCTGTGATTGAAAATCAGGGTTATTCCACCAAATATTGATTTCTGAACTCTTCCTAAGTTAAAACATTATTATTGTGTTGTTTAAAGAACTTATTTTCTTTGCATTATTCGAGGTATGACAACGCTACATATTTTTTTTGTTATTTTGACCAGTTGTCATTTCCTGCAAATAAATGCTCTAAATGACAATATTTTTATTTGGAATTTGGGAGAAATGTTGTCAGTAGTTTATAGAATAAAACAAAAATGTTATTTTTACCCAGACACATAGCTATAAATAGTCAAAAGTTTGGACACACCTATTCGTTACTACATGATTCCATAGATTTGATGTCTTCACTATTATTCTATAATGTTGAAAACAGTAAAAATAAAGAAAAACCCTTGTATGAGTAGGATTTTTACTGGTACTGTATATATATATATTCACATCAATTACCTTAGCTGAATGACCTCAATCAATCAGAGGCAGCAGGTGGCCTAGCGGTTAGAGCGTTGGGCCAGTCACAGAAAGGTCGCTAGTTCAAATCCCTGAACCGACAAGGTGAAAAATCTGTTGATGTGTCTTGATAAAGGCACTTAACCCTAATTGCTACAGGGTCGCTGTTGATAACGGCAGACCGTGACCCCACTCTCTCAGGGGGAGTTGGGATATGCCCCAAAAAATATCTAATTCATACATGCGTATAATAACACTACATGTGTCAAATATAAGCACCCACCTAATTATTATGGTTTATATTCACATCTAAATTGAATGCAGAGATAATAAGTTGCAGGAACGAGTTTGGGAAACCCTGATCTACATGATAAATAATCACAGCACAGTCCAGTTTCAGGTGTTTTTCCTAGTCACTCTGCTTCTGCCTCTGCACTGCTTTCTCTTTGAGGTTTTACGCTGGGTATCTGTAAAGCACTTTGCGTCAACTTCTGATTTAAAATGGGCTTCATAAAATACATCCGATTTGAATTTGAGTTACAGTACATACATTTCTGGGCCATACGACGTGGGGGGCGAACATGAGAGCGAGGTTGAAGGCGGACATTTTGTTCTTGTCCTGCTGCTTGGCGGTGTGGTAGAGCAGGTCCAGGATCAGTTTGAGGAGGCTGCGGTTGGCCTGGGGCAGCAGCAGGAAGAGGAGCTGGAAGGCTTCAATCTGACGCTCCTTATCAGGTACTGACGTCTTGTTGCCCTTCTCATCAAACAGAGTCATGTCTGGGGGAATGGAGGGGGGAGAGGAGAGAAGGGGGAGAGGAGAAGAGAGGGAGAACACACACAACACACTTCAATATGGGTCTCATGGGGTACAGGTATATTAAAAACTGTGAACATCAATGCCACTGATTATTGAGCGCCAGGGTGAGATGTTTTTGAGGTGAGGTTTGTGAAAACAAAAAAGTGCTACAGGAGAGAGAGTGGGGAGGTGCTCAGACAGGGGGACCTGCTATTTTGAGGTGAGCGTTGAAGTGTTGGTGCGTGAGGAGGGGTTCAGGTAGCTCTCCCAGGAAGGTCTTGAGGAGGGTGGCCACGTCGTTGGGGTGGAAGCCCCCTGCCTCCAGGTCGATGTCTGCCCCACTGTTCAGCTGTTCCTTCAGGGCCTGCTGCCGTACACTGTTACCCGGCACCCTGAACAGACCCTCCACCTGCAGGTCTGATCATCAATCAATAAATTAATTAATAATCAATCAACCACCTAGCACCCTGAACAGGCCCTTACCGTGCAGGTCTAATAATGAATCAGTCAATAAAACAAATATGTAGTGAATCAATCAGCAGTGTTTCCCCTACACTCATTTAGCAGCGGCGGGTCACCACTGATAAATCTTTCCCGGCACTCCAAAAAAGATGGTTTCAAAATGTACATATTTTTTAACATTATTTTTTGGGGGGTAAAACATTTTCAGTGTAAACTTAAACCACTAAAACCAGATATAAATTATGTATACTTAACCAAAATATAATTCATAATATAAATAAATAAAAAATATAGGAAATCAGTCACTTGAAATAAATAAATTAGGCCCTAATCTATGGATTTCACATAACTGAGAATACATATATGCATCTGTTGGTCACAGCAGGTAGCTTAGTGGTTAAGTAACCGAAACGTCGCTGGTTCTAATCCCGAGCCGACTAGGTGAAAAATCTGTCTATGTGCCCATGAGCAAGGCACTTAACCCTAATTGCTCTGGATAAGAGCGTCTGCTAAATGACTAAAATGTAAATGTAGATACCTTAAAAAAAGGTAGGGGTGTGAATCAGAAATCTAGTCAGTATCTGGTGTGACCACCATTTCCCTCATGCAGCGTGACACATCTCCTTCGCATAGAGTTGATCAGGCTGTTGATTGTGGCCTGTGGAACGTTGTCCCACTCCTCTTCAATGGCTGTGCGAAGTTGCTGGATATTGGTGGGAACTGGAACACGCCGTCAATCCAGAGCATGTCAAACATGCTCAATGGGTGACATGTCTGGTGAGTATGCAGGCCATGGAAGAACTGGGACATTTTCAGTTTCCAGGAATTGTGTACAAATCCTTGCGACATCGGGCACAGCATTATCATGCTGAAACTTGACGTTGGATGCAGCTTATGGTAGAGCTGGCAACAGCTCTGGTGGACATTACTGAAGTCAGCATGCCAATTGCATGCTCCCTCAAAACTTGAGGCATTGTGTTTTGTGACAAAACTGCACATTTTAGAGTGGACTTTTACTGTCCCCAACACAAGGTGCACCTGTGTAATGATCTTGCTGTTTAATTAGCTTCTTGATATGCCACCCCTGTCAGGTGGATGGATTATCTTGGCAAAGGATAAATGCTCACTAACAGGGATGTAAACAAATTTATGCACAACATTTGAGAGAAATAAGCTTTTTGTGCGTATGGAACATTTCTGGGATCTTTTATTTCAGCTCATGAAACATGGGACCAACAGTTTACATGTTGCGTTTATATTTTTGTTCAGTGTAGAAAAGATAATGGAGCTATATATTTTTTAAAAATAAAATCATCTTTGAGAATTAACAATCAAAATAAAAACTAGACAGTCAGTGAGAATCAAAAAATCAAAAAAATGTCATGGCACCAACGATTTTGTTCTAATGTTTGGGTCACTCAGATAGCATAATAACAGGGCATAAGCCATGGCAAAATGTGTAGAATTGCAGGAAACTAGATTTAAAGGTAGCCTTAGCGAAATGACATTGCCACGAGCAGCACCGCAGATATTGAGACGAGCGAGATGCAAGACTTCACTCTCGCATGGTCACACAGTATAAGCGCATGTACACCCTGCGCATGTTTAGCCTGGGCACAAAAACAGTGGACAAGTTGAGCCTCTTGCTTCAACGCTCTTAGTTGTTGCGGATATTGACCCACTATGTTGTTTACTTTCTGCATCTACATCATATCACTGAGTCTAGCTTTAAATTAACATTTCCTTTCCGCCCCATGGGAAAATGTGTAGAATTGCAGGAAATTCTACACACACACCGCTGCTGAAAGAAATCCTAAGGGAAACACTACACCTCAGGTCCATGTGGAGTTGTGGGATTATTTAAGATACTCTTCGAAGAGATAGGGTTTCAGATGTTTTCAGAAGACGGGCAGGGACTGTCCTAGCTTCAAGGGGAAGCTGGTTCTACCATTGGGGTGCCAGGACAAAGAAGAGAGAATTTGAGAATTACATCCAGGGATCATGCTTCAGATGGGAATCTGTAACAACAACATGATCAACTCACTCTTGCTGAGGTATTCGATGAGCTGGTAAATCTGGGCGATGCCTCCCTCTGTCAGAGGAGTCCCGAACACCACTTCCTTATCTGTGACGATGACAACGGCCAAAGGACGAGAATCTGAGTGCTGTACATTTATATTATTATTCAACATTATAGCAACCCAGGGCCACGTTCAGTAGCCAAACGTTGCAGATAAAAATTCCATGAGTAAAGCCACCGTGATTCCTTCTTCTACATGTCAGACAGGCATGTTTGTTCTACATAGTGTATCAACATTGCATCCTGCTGAACACACCCCAGGTGAAGACACCCTTGGTTGATCCTCATGACCGTTCTCTCACCTTTACGTTTGAGGAAGTTGAAGGAGCGGAAGAATCCCCCTCCGGCCCCCATGGGGGTCTTGGGCCCTCCCTCGTCCCCCAACAGCAGAGAGAACTCAGCACCGGGAAGGTCGATGAGGCGGGTGATGTTGCTAAGCACTAGTTCTTGAAACACCTCAGGTCTCTCGTGACGTAGCTTCTCCACAAAGAAGTCTGGGTTGAAGATGATTGGCGGGCGGCCCCCAACCCCACCGCCGCCCCATGAGCACCCCCGCATTCTGGCTGATCACCACGTTACACACCGTACCCCTGGTGGAACACACACACACAGATGCTGAAGATCTAGGAAAATCTTTAAACAACCGCTATATCTTTACACTGACTTTCTTGCACGTACACACACACACCAAATCTCTCTCTCCCTCTTACACATGTATGATGATGGTGTAGTGGGTGGCTAGCCCAATAATGGACTAAAGAAGCTAACATTACTATAGTCCAAGGACCTTACATGTTTTGTTTAAAGGCGAATTGGCTCTGGCCAAAACAGCCAAATACTCCATCTAAACGTAAATCGGTCCTCAATTGCGGTTCTAGAAACATAAAGCCCTCCACTTTCATATCATATCACCATAATTTCACAAATGCAAAAAATACACTTACTGTACACTGTTTTAACAGTTGCAGCCAAGCAGTCTTCCGTTTATGCAAGTGTTCGGAGACACAGATAGCACATATGGCCGTGTGGTAACCGTAACCCTATAAAGGTGGGTAGTAATTTAACCTTTTTTTAATTTATTTTTTATAATTTTAATATGAAAGCTAAGTTCTTTATGTTTCCAAAACGTTAAGTGTTGATGAAAGGGTTAGTGGTTGGACAGATAGGAGAAAACCAAGTTGTAGGCATGCTAGGGTTTTACTTTGGGTCCATTGCTCTGAAGATCAGTGAGTTGAAGACACATCTTTCACACAAGTACACACTCACTGGCAATTCAGAGCTGCTTGACTTGGCATAATGGTGGAGAGTTCGTTTTGCATGGCCTGGTGCCCCAGGTTAGTGGTGATTTCACTTCAGGACCGATGGAATTGTCTAAAATCAGCAAACCCCGCTCACCCGGGGCACCGGGCAATTCAAAACAAAGACCAATGACAGCTAACAGTCTATTGTTGCTACTACTTGCTAGCTAGCTAGCTATGGAGTCTTGCTGTAATTCAGCGACAGCGCAGGAATAAATGCTCTGCACCCACTCCGTTCAGAGTAGCTGTGTGATGCAGTCAGAAATTGTATTTTGTCACAACACTTGATTGTCAGAGCTAGCTAACTAGCTAGCTAGCTAAATTAGCTTTCACTGTCGCTGAAAAACAACATGCATGTCAGACAAGCTAGCAAGCCAAATTCAAATGCCAGTACCATGACAACTCCACAGTAGCTTTACGTGCGTGTATGGTTTATTCTGTATACATATTGTACATGTTTAAATGTTATTTTACCTTCTGTTTTGTGTATTTTCATTTGTCTCTTTATCCGCTGCCATCTTCCGTTTGAATCCTCCGCTGGTATCCCTGACTCCGCCCACTCCATCTCTGATTGGTCGGTTATAAAACACGGGCGGGGTGAGCAGTAAATATTTGCATGTTTCGTTCTCTGATTGGATTGTTTGAATTCACTTTAGTAGTGTCAATCAAGGAAAAACAATAACATTGAGAACGGTTACACGCACACACAATAATGCGATTATTGTGGATAATCTGATTTATATAATAGTTTGATTAAAACCGTTTACATGCTTTGCACGAAGAACGATCTCCCTAATAATACTGTTTACATGGACACATCTGAAATCAGGCTACTATAGCACTCTGATAAATGCAGAAAATCGATACTCAAAATAAACGTTCTACCACAGCGACCATGTTATTTTTGGTAAACAGATTTGATTCTGAGTTCGGACATGTAAAATGTGTATGTTAAAACTATTTCTAAGATGCATACATTCAGTTGTACGAGAGTTCACTCGAGCTAAATAGGGAGGAGGCTCGCTCGGCTGGTGCTAGCGCATGCACAGATCAAATACACAGCTGGAACGCCGATTAAGGTGTTTACATGTCCTAATAATTCGAAAGGTTGCTCAGAAAACCAGGTGTTTTTAATTTAACCAGGTATGCTTACTTCGATTTTGACCTTACACCGATTAAGATAAGCAGAGTAAGGTGTTTACATGACTATTGCAACTGCCATAATTAGTTTAATATTGAATTATTACTGTGCATGTAAACGTAATCATTGATTAAACACTTTTGGAAGAAATGTGAATCCCCCTCCTGGTTCCCTGGTCAAAATGTTGGCTTCGCGGCTTCCTCTCTGCGCCTGGCTTTTTCTTCTTCGTGTGGTTTTCCAGCAGACTAGACACATTGTTGCGTATTGCTGTCTTTCACAGTTCGGAAAGTGCATTGCACATTTATTCACAAAAAAAGGGAAATGGGGACAAAAGGAAATTGCACCACCATCTAACCCTATATATACCACTATCCCCAACACATCCCACCACTACTTTGGACCTAACAGATCAAACACATTCTGGGATTTCCTATCCATCTTTGTGGTACAATTAATGACCACAGCAATAAACGCCAAGAAGCCAACCTTACTAAAGCGCAAACTGTTCGGGTCGCTCTGTACTGGCCTACTACTCACAGGGATCCTCTCAGGCTCCCTCACCCTTTGCCCACCATCCTCTACTTTCCTCACAGCCTCAGTATATGACACTTTCTGCACTGCTCTCACCCTGGAAACTTCAATCTGTCTCACTCACAATGGACACTTATGATCCCCACCTTGGCCACCCCTACAATTGAAACTCTTTTCCACCAAAACTACAGTCCTTTGTCCCATGCCCTCCTGCACACTTATCACAAGTTAAAATCTCTGTCCTACATACTGACTGCTGCAACATGATCATAAACTTGGCACCTGAAACACCGAAGTGGGTTTGGAACAAAAGATCTCACGGGATAACTTATATACCCTAGCATGACTTTATCCGGCAAACACTCTGCATCAAAACTCAGAGGTAGAATTCCATTCATTCCTATGGAAAACTGTTTCTTCTTGGTAGTACTGTAGTGTCGAGTCAATGTTGCTAATTATTGCTGTTAAACAAAGGAGTCCACTTATACTGAACTTTGATCATAAGTTTTATTCATATCACAAGATTTCAGCATAAGTGTACAGGTGTCCAGATCACCCGGAGAGCAGTGGTTCCCAAATTGCAATGTCTGCTCTGCTCTTCTTCGTTTAAACCCAGTATATATAATCTTCCCCAAAATATGGGTGGCTCCCTCTACTGTCCAATCCCCTGTCTACAACACACAGACTTCTCTGTCCTATGTGGCGTCACACTAAAACAATTCCTCTGACACTAAATAAACATCCTCTCAGGTTCCACTTAAAACCATTAACAAAGTCATAATCTTAATACACTACATTCCCCCCTTCGAGACTAACTAAAAGTCTCGAAAACAAAAAGAATAGGATTATGACAAGAAACAATTTATCTTATTGAGTATCTTTAACCATAAACCAAAAACACATTTTCTCTGGAGTGTAAATACCTTTCTATGAAATATGAACAAATCTATATGAAGTATGAATACATTACTATGAAATATGAACAAATCTTTATGGAGTGTGAGAGCGAAAAACCTGTCTGGCAGCCTTCCTTCCAAATATCCATCCATCAATCAAGACAGTAAAATTCTCTCACGGCCCCTCTGCCCCAGGCAACCACCTAGGTACTCCAGATCAATTCATAAATCTTTATCAATGCATTTGAAACTATGATGCAATTAAATACACATGAAAGCCCCAGCAAACAAAATACTATCCAAAAAATGTCCACACTAAGGCTGGTCGACCCATCGGACCCTACAGTGGATCTCTATCCCTGCCTAGACTCCATGTCCCTAAGCATTCACGAAATAAACAAAAACATCTAAGATCCCCACATGTATTCAATAACATCAAATATCATTCTACAAAAATTAATACAGAAAGAATATGACACAAATTATGTATTACACATGCAAATATGTCTATATTTCATTGCAGACACTGGAATGTAGTCCACTACACTTCATCTCCTCCGTAGTCTCCTCTTCCAATGCATCTTCGATGATGGATTTGGAACATTTCCACACCTTCCTTGTTCCATCTCCTCCAGTCCCTTCATATTCTCCTTTCATATTGTCCCTTCATATTGTCCTTGTTTGAGTATTTCAATATCTACATATTCCCCCAAATGCTTCTGGAAGAAAAGAAAAGACCAAACAGTATCTTTTGCAAAACAACACTTTCAAATTAAAACATCAATATCAACTAAGAATATAAAAATGATATATAAATGATATATGAATCACCTTATCCTATTTCCCCCCTTTGATTCATAACAACATACTAAAATCACACTAATATTGAAAAACATTTGAAAAATGATCAAATAATCAAAAAGGATATTTATCCATCAATACTCCATCCAGTCCCACTTGTCCATCTTCATCCAGATCAGGAACAGTCAACAACGGCATCTGAGTGTTGTCTCCAGGCATCACAACTCCAACCCATCTCAATATCATAGCTTTCTCAAAGGTCAGTAACAAATTACAAAAGCAAAACATCTTCGACAGAAGATTAAACCCTCTTATCGTTTCATTTGCCAAACCCTGCAAGGTATAAGTAATATTATCTATGTTATCTTCCCAAATTTTACACCATACCATGGAAAAATCCCCACTTCTCTCTTAGACTTATCCTCCAATGATAGGCTTCCCAGACTATGAAATTCCTCTAAAATTGGTGCTGGAGCTATCTGCTCCCTTGTAATCAAATGCAATATATTTATGGCTTTAATAACTATCAATGTTGAAAGAGTTAAATTGCTTCTCACTGTTGTTATAATATGCTGAAGTGTTGATGTCATTGTTGTTACTTCATCCATTCTCCCTAAAGCTTTGAACTCCTTACTTGTATTTCCATCTATCACCACTAGTGTCACTACATTCACTCTCTTCCTACTCACATTGAAACTTAGCTTACTGTCCTAGAGTTCCTTCAACCCTAGCTCTCCTAACTTTTTTAATCTAATCTTTTCTCCTAACTTTTAAAAAACCATTCCACTGATTTATTCACAAAATCCCTTCCCACCAAATTTTTGAATATGTGATCGGGAAGTCCCCACCTGCTTCTGACTTCTTTACACACAGACTTGGCAAACGATCGAACATCTTTTAGCCTAG